AGTTTGGCATTCCACAGGAGAGGATGCTGTAAAACAGTCCTCTGCAGGTTGCCGCCTTTGACAAAAGTACTTTCCTACTGGCCCAAAAAAAACATTTAAACCCATGAACAGTCAGTTTTTAGTGGCAGTAGGAAGGCGCACTAACCGCTGTTGACCTATGTGAAACAACTCAGAGATTCAGACAAACAAAAGAGTGGAACAGTAAAGCAAAATGACAATACCCTGGCTTCCTTAGATGTTGCTCTCTGTTGTAGCTGCTTAGCAGTGGCGGCTGGTGGATTTTTCTCTGGGGGGCTATAAATTCAAAATCGATGTATACCAAAAACCAATCAAACATGTACTAAGTACTTTACCTGTTAATCAGCCGCACTATGACTGTGTGGCAGTTCCTGACAGGAACTGCCCCGTTTGAAAAACCGAGGAGACTGATATGAATTGAAAGGTCTATCAAAAATTAAATGATTCAGGGAACAGGTCCGATAGTTGGAAACGGTCACTGGAAGGAGGGGAGAGAAGTTAGTAAGGATTTCCAAAGGGAGATATGTTGTGCACTACAGTAGGGTATTGTCAAAGAAATAAGTTTGGTGTTGAGGAGGTTAGCAGGGAAACTATGGATATTTAATGCTACTGGTCTTAGGGAGCTGATCCAGTAATCTTCTGCAGAAGAGAACATGAGCCAGAGAACTCAAGCTCTGTCTTCAGAGGTAGACCAAGAAGATTTCCAAAGGTGACCTAGAAACAAGAATAAAATGGAGGAAGATTTAAACAGTGGGCTAGAGGCACCACTAAGAAGGATCAACAAATGGTGGCAATGAATGAGCACATTTTATGCTCCTCATAATGAGCCTGATGACTTGCAGGTGTAAGGTGCCAGCAGAAAGCTCAGCCCTACCCATCAACTGAACCTCTACAGCCTCTAATACCAGAGATGATACATCCTGTGCAACTTATCCATAAGCCAGTCTTGAAATGCATTCAGTTTGTTTCATAGCACAATATTTGAGTTTTAAAAATTATTTCAGCAATATTAGAGAGATCCTCAAGTTTCTGATAAAAATTTGTGTTAAGAAATATCCATCTTTTAGCCCTGTGTCATGTGAAAACTAAAGATCAATGACTAAAGAAGAGAAAGCTTCAGGACATGTCATATTGCTGTTGCTGAACAGAACCAGTATGACAGGTATGAAGTAGGGAAGATCACATCAGGGTGAAAATATAATGATAAAAGGTAGACATGGATTTTTAACCTTGATAGCACAGGAGACAAACCTTTCTCTCCACAGTTAACATGTTTAAACGAGTGGATAGTTTAATCTAACATGATCTTTTGTTTATTAACCTACAAAGAACCCCAAAAATGCAGATAACATTTGGCTAGATATGGAACACAAATACTTTTATTATTTGTGGTATTTTGGACAAAAAAAATTTTTTTTATGGCATTTTGAATTTGGTATAAAAAATGTAAAAAAAATAAATCTGGACCTGGTATGTGTAACAGAGATAACGGAGTCAATGCTGTTTAGCAACATGAACCCTGAAATAACTTCCCTAAAATGTGTTCACAGTTCAAGTTACAAGGCACAGCCAGTTTATTGATATAGCACAATTCAGTACAAAGACAAATCAAAGGGCTTTACATGAATCAAACAATAAAATAGAAGAAAAAATAAAAGCAGAATAAAAGCAAGTAGTGGAACTAATAAACTAGTTGGACCAGAACCTTAAAATATACCTCAGTTAACATTTTAACTTCAACAGCCAAAAGCAGCTTTAAACAAACTCCAGCTTTCAGCACTTTTACTGTCTTCTGGGAGTTTGCTACAAATTCTGTAAGTGGAGCATAGGAACTACAGTAAACGCTGCTTCTTCATGTTTGGTTCTAATTCTGGTTGTACAATTGAACTGGATGACCTGAGGTTGATGCACTAATAAGAAATCTGTTTTGAATTTTATACAGAATTCAATTAAATTGACTTTATTTATATAGCGCCAATTCACAACACATGTCATCTCAAGGCACTTTACAGTTCAACCATGTTTGCATCTGGATGTAACTTTGAGAGCAGCACCTACTTAACAGATCTAAGCCCAATTTGTACAGAGACAAGATTGGGTGTAACCACAAAGATATTTTGTCATTTAAGCTGTGCATCCAACTGGAGCTTGCCCTTTAGGAGAGCAAACAATAAAAAACAAACAATACTCTTTAGAACTAAATCTTATAATGGAAAAACACTGGTTATATATTTTAGTTTGTATGTGAGATGTGTCATTTTTATGATGATAGCTCTGTAGCTCAGCCTCTGTAACCCAGAGGTTGGCTGGGGTGTGCCTCTTTACTGCCATGTTATTTGGGTTTGATTCTGTGGTATTTTAGACAGGATAACTAACAGCTCTTAATTAATTGTCAATTAATAAATATGTTTTTTTTTTATTTGATTGCAATAACTTGAATCATAACACTTAAGAAGTGTTATTGGTTTTAACATTAAATGCGCATAATCATAGACTCTTTGTTTGGTCCCATCACTTCCTTGTTTACATTTTGCATACATCAGTGATATAATACCTTCAGTCACGTGTTAGTTTTGTTGTAAGTATCGACAGAACAGCTTTTATTAACTAAAAGACTGAGCAAAAACAAAGAGTAAAACAGAAAAATAACAAATAATATACCAGCAGGACACGGTTATTTTCAGAAAAACTTGGTATGCAACCAGAGTGAGCAACTAGTGTATGAATTTGACGAGTCATATAATGACATTCTGCACCTTTAAAGAAACTGACAAGGTCAGATTTAGGAGGGTCTGAAATATAAATTCAGACCCTCCTAAAGATGATCACATCTTTTATTATAATGGATTTGTTGTTAATACCATACTCTCTTCATCCCTAACTGATCCAACAATTAAAACAAGCACATTAAACAAGGATGCATCACTGATCTCCAATTAAGGTTGAGCAATTGCATATTTATAAATGTGATTACATCTCACACAGAAAATCTCCTAACTCGTAACTGTTTAACAATTTCAGTAAATTTATTTTCTTTAATTTAAATACAAACTTAGCTTAAAGACAAAACAAGTCTGTATTTTCATACTGATGCTTCATAATATAATATCAAATGTATTTTCAGCTAAATCGCAAGCATTGCTTTCCATACAGAATGAACTAATCAAAAGTATCTCCCCACAGACACCTGCAGAAGTCTGTGGTTCATCAGGCTTTCAGAGACATAGGAAGGGCTGGAGAGGAAACCCAAGAATCACTAAACCCCACGGAAACAAAGTGGAGAAGAACAACTAAATCTGTGTGTAAAACGGCTCCTAAGTATCGCTCCATCCTCTCTGCAGGCACCGTAAGTACAGTTTATAAGTTTTGCAGTGCTGCCAAAGGTTCCAGTTAGATTCTCTGTTTTGGTACTGACAAACATTTTTTGTTTTATTAATTATTTTGGTTCTTATGAAGTTTTTTTTCTTCCCCTTCTGAGCTATATTCAAATGTGTGCATCAAACCAAAATAATTTTTTTAAGCTTGCTTCATATTTCTATAATGCGCATGTAATCAGCTGCATAAAACTCTTAGGTGTAAAATTAAACCAAGATTTATCCCACTGCATCACCTGTAAAAGCTGTCCAGCCTCTCTGCACAGGTGTTAAACCAAAATCTTACTGATAAAGTGGTGCTAATAATGATGCATTTATGTTAACGACTCTACTAAATCGTGATGTTCAAGCAGCATTTAAAGGCATCATGAGTGGGTTTCACAACAGCTTGTGAACACATAAAGATTTAACAGTGCAGAACTAATAAAAAACATGCATATAAATCCTGACGAAAAATATATATAGCTCCAAAAACATTGTTAGATACCTAAATATACAACAAAGTCAATACCAAAAGGCAGCATAAGGAGTGGCTCAGTCGGTTTTTCTATATAGTTTAAGTCTGACATTAGCATGGGTTTCTATATGCTCTTTGCTGCAGATAAAACAACTTGATAACTATCTGGGTTCTTAGTACTGAAACCATACTTTAAATTGTGTGGTTTGATCACAATGACTGCTATTTTATTGTATTTGCTTTACATGATTTCAAATGATCGGTGCTGCAAATTAATACCTACCTCAGATTTATTTGCTACCTAAGTAGTTTTATTGTTAAACAACGGTTTGATGCTTAGACAATTCTTGGAAAAAAAGTGATCTTTTTTTCCCCCCAGCAAACTTCATCTCAATAATTCAGCTTCTTATTAAGCATTTCTAATCCCCTTTATAATTTAATTTCTAGTGAGAATTACAGTGGATTGACACAAATAAGTCTCCTAACCTTCTTATCCCTTCACGTGCAAATCTTAAAAGCACCTGTCTGAATTATAAAGACTGCTTTAATAACTATTCATTGCAAATGCTCTTTGCAAGGCTGACTTACCTTTCAGATTTCTAACTGAATATCCAGACCATTTTTAAATATTGTATGCAAGTTCAATCTTAATATGTAAATGGAAGCTGGCCTTATGTTAAAAGAAAGTACAGAGAGAGCTTATTAAGCAAGTTAAATACAGCAATGGAGAGTGAAGTCAAATGTGATGGCAGTGGTGTGCTCCATTTGTGCTGAAAAGTGGCAAGTCCTGCAATTTAATTTGGTAAAATTGTGCCAAACATGCATGAAGCTAAAATTCTGATGAAAACGTCAAAGGGGCCTGATCAACCCCACCCTCAAAGCCTAACTTCACTACATAATGTAATAGAGTGGATAACAGATACCCTCCACTTCTGTTTGAAATAGCTCCCTATGATGTGTATGTACTGAACTTCAGGCTGCCAGCACCCTATGATTGTATTTGCTTAATGAACCTGTGGGTTAAAACTGCTGAATTAGTGTATTTCTCTTTGTATATCTTTTTTTATCTCTATATTTGGCATTCCGTAAAATTATTTTGTGAATGTATTTAAAGTAATACAAAATATATATTAAAATAGAAATACATAATGGTTTAGACTCTCGATGCCCCCCCACCCCTTTGCTATTTTTGAGATATTCTTCTGACTCTAACATATAAATGTTCCCTAACGCTCTCATTATACAGCTGGTAACTGTGCTGCCGCTTTATGTTGATTTTGTTGTTGTTGTTTTTCTTTAGAGCCTTAGAAATACAGCTAAACCAATTGTCTCCTTCTTGCTGGAGCATGAAACATCTTTAATTTCTCCCCAGTAATCATTAAAATTATGCTAATTGAAAATATGAATGTTTTAATTACACACCAAACAGTTTTTAATTGAAATTCAGTAAATTAATTCATATATCCAGTTATGTCAACATCTATTTTCTTTTTACTAAGGAGGACTTCACATACTGATGTTTAGCCATCCTATACAGGAATGCACTGTATTTATTGTAGTAATTTATGATGTCTATGTGAGTATACAAAATATGCATACCTGGTTAAAATGGCTATATGTATTGAAATGTGTTTTCAAAACTGGCATTTGATATCAGAAATACAATAAAAAAGAAAAGTGCGTTTTTTAAAACATTTAATACTTTATTGAGGGTAGCTCTGTTGATAGATGTCGATGTGCAATAGAGGAACGTTTTTGTTTAAAAGGTGTGAAACCTTTTAACCCTAAGTGTGAACACATTGTGTGAAAGCACTACTTTTACAGAGGATGGAAGAAGGTCTGATTATCTTTTCCCTTGTGGTTGTTGTGCAGACTAATAGTTGCAAAAACCTTCTGGAGGAGAGGGCCAAGCAGACTACTTTTATTTTTTTTATTATTATTTTGTTTTCATATTTTGCATCTGTTGTTACTTTTAATAAAATTTTAAAAAATGAAAAGCTACATACATTACCACACACTGACTGATAAAAGCCTTATATTAAGGTAATCTTTAATAGCAGAAACATAATCTCACTCTGGAAACTATATATTTTCTAAAAAACTATCTTTTCTAAGATTATTGCCGCTACTAACATTTTTTGGGGGAATTAATTCTACTTAAACCCTTACCCTAAACCTTTTATTTCTCCTTTTTTTCATCCTAGCTCTTTAGTCACTAACAGTCATTGTTAACTTACTGTTTCCGCAGGTTATAAATCTGCAATAAGATAGGTCCCATTTCCATGTCATTAAAGACATGCGAACATGCCATTCCATCATGACAGATGTATACTGATCAGGAATTACTGATGATAGTCCATGCCTAACTTGGTCATATCTACCGTCAGCACAGCAATAAAAACCTACATCTGTCCAATGTGTAAATATCGCTGGACCAGGACCTAATCCTAAATTTGCCCCTGTGCATTGAGGAGGATGTGATTGGAGTTAAATGTCTAAATCTGCTTTAATATCACTGCTTTTACAGTTTTTTTTTTTTATTATTATTATTAGTTTTTATTTGATTATTCATCCTCCTATCACAAATATCATGATCAATTATTTGGTTCAGTTAAAAACAAAATTAAGCTTTAAGGCAACTAAGAGTGAATACTTGTTTTTTTTTTTTTTTTTATGTTTTTTGGCCAAGACTTTCACAATGCATACATTTTTTGACATTTTGAAATTGTCTAAGAGCTTCACCCATAAACTACGATAACCAATATTTTTCAACAGGATAAAGCAAATCATATTATATTTCCAGAGTAACTGGCCTTCTTTTATTGCCATCTCAGTCATCACATGACACTTCTGTTGAAAACCTGTGAAGTCAGCAAATAAAAGAAAGCAAAAGAAAGGAACCATAGATCTGGATAACTTGAAGAGATAGAAAAAACAATCATCAATCATCTCTCTTTTAGTATTCTCCAACATAAAAAATGTAATGGGAAGGTACTAATGCAGTGCTATTTCCAAACAGAATAAACAATGATGTTAATAAGATTTGCTGCAGTTTTTTAGTAAGCAGATATAACTTAAGTTATTGGTGTTTTTTTATTTTTATTTTATTGTATTCAGTGTGAGATTATGCTACTGGAGAGAGGTCAATTGAGTTAAGATTTTCCCATGTCTTTATAAAGCTTGCTTAACCAGTGTGGAGAGCGATGTATATCCACTCCCGGAAAAACACCAAAGCAGTGTCAAAAATCATAACTGGCTTAGGGTTATTGTCTTTTTTTAATGCAATTTACGACTCTAATGATGCACTTACGTTGCCCGCTCTTCCCTTTTTTTTTTACACCGTACCTACTTAAGGAGGAAATCTTGATTGGTAAGTTGCTGCTATCTGCAGATTCAGGGATTTACTTGAAGGCCGGTGCAGGCTAACAATGTGTTTTTACAGGAGGGAGAAAAACGATAATCTGTCCTATTCTGAGGGCTTTCCTAGTTAGACTAATGGGATCTCTCTTAGTCTTCAATCGTTTTCTTTTCTACATAAAACCCATTTTTGTGACATTTGTTCAATGTTTTTTTTTTTTTTTTAAATGAGGCTTTTCAATGGGGTTATTGTATATTCTGTTTTCCTCCTCACTGGAGTTAGAGCTGGTAGATCTTTCTGCTCATAGATTACTTCTTTCTACTATGCTCTCTTCTTTATTTCTTCCATATAACTGTTATAGTCCAGACCTACTTAAAAGACTGTCTCCTTGTTGATTTCTTTTACTTTAGTTGAGTTCAGACTTTCTTTCGAGGTTAATCGCATGCTTCAAATTTGCATGATGTCTTTCTATTTCAAAGCTTTTTGTCCCAAGAAAAAAGAAATCTCAACTGTGCTTTCAGTGGGATACGTGCCTTTGTACTAGTGTATTCAGAGTAAATCAAAGCAGGTAGCAGATTCCTTTCCATGCAAGTTGGGTTTTAAGCTGTATCCTCTTTGTCTGTTTGCAGATTTTGCCTTCAAAGCCAGGAAGCAAGCTTTTAAATGGGAATGGAGCCCAGGATTTTTCAAGTCACACTGGAGGTCCACGTGACTACGACTCTGGTAACGACACATCTTCTCCTCCGTCAAGCAAAACTGGTGTCTCTCGGGCAAGCGTCGCGGAGAACCAGAGGAGCTGTCAACATCTTACCTCACCTCCTGAGAAGCACCACTTTGCTGACAGAGATAATGGCTCTGATTCAGGAAACTCTGTGACAAGCTACGCTTCTTCATGCAAACCTTACAGGGATGATGGCTTCTCTGCTACCCTTTTCAGTGGAAACAGCAAGAGGTGAACATTCTGTCTGAAAAGTATTAGTATGAACCAGGGCTCCCTTTAACAGTTAACAAAAAATAGATCTTCACAATAATTTAAAAGTTTTCATACCTTACATTTAGTTAGATTATTTTGACTTTAAATAACTTATCCTATACTTTGCATAATTTACCCAATACTTTTCTGAAATTGTACTTTCACAGAAATCTCAGTTAACTCTGGGAACTAATCAGCAATTTCCTTGGATATTTATGAAACTTACCGCTTACTTTTCCAAAACGTATTTATTAGCCCTTAAGATTTTCTGATTTTAATGCCTATGCCATCAGAAGATACTGAATCTGTCATAATTATTTACAGGTTTTCATATTTCCTTGAACTAAATGCTAACTTAAATGTTCCTTAACCTATTGTGTACTTTCTGTTCTAGAAAATAATTTCTAAGTAAGGGTAACATACACTGCTCAAAAAAATAAAGGGACCATGTAAACAACACAATATCACTTCAGTCACATCAAACTTCTGTGAAATCAAACTGTCCACTTAGAAAGCAACACTAATTGACAAATCAATTTAATTTGCTGGGCATATGGAAAAGAAGGTCGGATTTATGAGCAATTAGCAAACCATAGTCACACACACTCTGGGAACCACAGACAACTTCTCATTACCTATGCTTTCTGCCTGATGTTTTGGTCACTTTTCAAAGTTGGTGGTTCTTTCACACTCGTGGTAGCATGAGAAGGACTCTACAACCCACACAAATGGCTCAGACAGTACAGCTCATCCCGTTAGGCACATCAATTCAAGCTGTAGCAAGAAGGTTTGCTCTGTCTGTCAGCATAGTGTCCGGAGGCTGAAGGCGCTTCCAGGAGACAGGCCAATACACCAAGACATGAGGATGAGGCCTTAAGGGGGCAACAGCCCAGTAGCAAACCACTACCTCTGCCTTTGAGCAAGGAGGTACAGGAGGAGCACTGCAAGAGCCCTGCAAAGTGACCTCCATCAGGCCACAGGTGTGCAAGTGTTTGCACAAACTGTTAGAAACTGACTCCACAAGAGTTATATGAGGGCCCCAAATTCACAGATGGGGTTCTGCTCACAGCACAACAATGTGAAGGACGCGAAGACCAGGATTTGCAAATTTACCATTGGCGCCATGTACTCTTCACAGATGAAAACACACTGAGCATATGTGACATACGAGGCAGAGTCTGGAGCCACCAATGAGGGCAATCTGTTGTCTAAGACATCCTTCATCATGACTGGTTTGGCAATGGGTCAGTAATGGTGTAGGGTGGCATTTCTTTAGAGGGCTGCACAGCCATCCATGTGTTCACCAGAAGTAGCATGACTGCCATTAGGTACCGAGATGAAATCCTCAGACACGTTGTGAAACCATATGCTGGTGCAGTTGGCATAGGGTTCCTCCTAATGCATGACAATTCTATATCTCATGTGGCTGGAGTGTGTCAGCTGGTCCTGCAAGATGAAGGAATCGAAGTGATGGACTGGCCTGCCCGTTCCCTAGACCTATATCAGATTAAACGTCTGGGAAATCATGTCTCGATCCATCCACCAATGTCACGTTGCACCATAGACTGCACATGAGTTGGTGGATGCTTTAGTCCAGGTCTTGGAGGGGATCCCTCAGGACACCATCCACCACCTCATCATGAACATGCCCAGGTGTTGTAGGGAGGTCATACAGGCACGTGGAGGCCACACAATGCTGAGCCTCATTTTGACCTGATTTAAGGACATTGCATCAAAGTTGGATCAGTCTGTATCGATTTTTCAACTTTAATTAATTTTTTTTTGTGACTCTAAATCGAGGTCTTCATTTGTTGATACTTCTGATTTCAGTTGATGATTTATGTGTGATTTTGCTATCAGGACATTCAATGTTATATGCAACAAATTATTCAATGAGAATATTTAATACAATCCAAACTAGAATGTGTTATTTGTATGTTCCCTTTATTTATTATTTTTTTTAACAGGGAGTGTTTCCACCAAATTACCATCAGATTAAAACAGTATTGTTAAAAATCTATGATATCAAATGGATAGCTCTCAGTTGTTTAACTGCTGTTCTTTTAAAGGAAAGTTGAACAGTAAATAAATCTCTTGGGTTTTGTTGCTAGTATAAATCAACATCAATTGGTGTTTCCGGCTAAAGCCGAAGGCTAGTTTGAGAAGGACCAAGATAAAAGAAGACTTCTAACATCCTTAAACAACTGCAGTCCTAAAAATGTCACACTGTGTTTTGCAAACAAACCCCAAAAATAATTCAACCGTATCCCTTTTTGCATTGTGCAGTTATTTTAATCCTCATTTACAAAGGAAATGAGTATAAGACACACTAATAACAAGCAAGAAGTTTAGATCGAGAATACATTTCTGATCGAAAAGTAAAAAAAATAACATAGTGCGCTCTGTAACACCTAAAGTACCTTTGCTTCTTCAGAACCTTTTGCTTCTCTAATAGACCATAGAATCATGTTACATGTTGAAACAGAGACCGCGAGACCTCTCCTCGCAAAGCATCATAAACATTTGTTGTGGGATCTATCGCTAGTTTTCAAGGTGCTTTGTGGGAAATTTCAAGTCTACCACTGTTTCATCCACTGGACGTTCAGACGGCCATCCTAAATGGCATAACCACTATAGAGTACCCTATACAGTGATTAGGGCAAACATTCAAACTCAGGTCATGGCTGTTCCTCAATTAACAAGAATGTGAGTATGGACCTGTGATATCACCATATGCATGGCTCATCTGGCCCTGCATTTTACCTTCTGCACTTAATAGATAAGAATAGATATTATATAGAGAATAATGCTTAACAGTCAAATAAAGACAAATCAAGTGAACATTTTGCATAAAAAAAACAAACAAACCTCGATCAGAGCCAGTGGGGTTTCACACATGTCTAGGCTGCTGTAGACGTGTTAGAGTTAGCCTTAGCTACGGTTAGCCTCAGAAGTTCACTGTTACGACGGTCCTCACAACATCTGAACTTTTTTTTCAATTACTCACTAAATCAGGAAATGGGCCACATGGTGTAGCTTTAGGGTACAATGTTCTCGCCTAAAATGATCTTAAAAGATAAACTTAAACTTGCTATTCGACCCATCAGTGCAAACATGACAATAACTTAAAGGTTAATGAAATAGTAATTCATTATATTACGAGTCATTTTAGGCTTGAGTTATTTACAGGTGTTAGAAGTCTAGTTGGAGTTAAAAGAAATTTTTACAAACTTTTCACAGAACTTTCTTAAAATAAAATCTGAAGTAGTGTTTCCCAGCCTCGCTCCTAAAGTGCCTCTGTCTTCTATGTTTGAGATGCCTCAGTTTTAAGTTATATGAATATGTGATTACTAGGCTTCTGCAGCACTAGATGGCTCCTGAGGAGAGCATGCAATCCTTTGAACTGGGTAGTATACCTCTAAAACAGGGGTCCGCAATGGAAGAAAGTCCCCATTCCTGCATCAGAGCGCTACCTGTTCAATCTGTGGATGGTCTTCCATGCTTGCAGTAAAACTAGCAGCAGTAGTGCAGTTTGGAGATGCAATGTATCCCTCAAACTCTAAAATATTCTTTATGGTTTGGGGCTTTTTGCAGTACGCAGATAAGCTTGGGATGTGAGGAAGAAGATTTGAGATGCCGGAAGACGGCCAGGTGTACACATAGGAGGAGCAGGTCATCTCGAAAGAGATTTCGGAAGAGAACCCTGTCCTTTACCAGTAGGAGTAGATCCTCAGTCAGTTCCCGGTACTCTGGGCGCCATTCTCGAAGCACTTCATTGTCTTCTTGCAGGTAATTTATCTAAGTTTATCTTTGTCCATTACATGGTTTTGTGTTTTAGGAAATACCACATTTATTTCTAACAGAGAAAATATTTTAAGAGTTAACTTATTTATCTTCTGCAGCTCTTACTCAACTTCTCTGAGTTACTCATCAGACACGAGGAGAAGAGGCAGCTTGGTCAGCTTGAGCTCAAGAGAAAGCTACTCCAAATACAGTGCACACAGGTAGCTAATTGTTTCAAGCTGCTGATTTACAACCAAACCTGCAATAATATTTTTGTTAACCAAATGTTCACCCTTTTCCCCAGAAGGCGAGATAGAAAGCGACGGTCCAGTTCCAGAGAGAAGGATATGAAACACAGACATAAGGTTAGTGGGAAGAGACGAAGAAGGAAATCCTACTCCCCAATGAGAAAGAGGAGGAGAGATTCACCGAGCCACCTAGAGGCACGACGCATCACAAGGTAAAGCAAATTTTAGCCAATCTTTAGCCAATTTTACATATTTGGTGGTTTGACCACATAGCAACCCAGAAGGACAAATGATGTGTTTATGCAACCCTTTAAAATTATACTTAGCTAAATTTTAAGAAAACTGTTAGCGGCATACTCAAAGTAGGTTAAAGAAGCAGATCAGGAAATAATACCAATCTAAAACCTGGATTATTTTTAACAGATTATTTGGAAAGCTTCTTATAAATCACACTCCAAAAGAAGAAACTAAAACATTATCAGAGGTAATTTTTTAAATGATTAACAGTATAGATACTTACTCTATTGAATATAGTATATATATATATATATATGTATATATATGTACTCTGTAAACTTGACTCAGACAAAATTCCTTCTTAACTCAATTAGGGACTGATTTAGAAAAACTTAATTTTTACCATGACTGAGATCTCCTTCTGACCCATGCAAACTAGAACTGACCTTAAAATAACATCTTAAACATCCTTTTACTCTCTTAGAAAAACTTCACAATCAACACAATTTTTTGCATTTTTATTATGCTGAAAAACTGTCTGCTATAATTTCTGCTACTACTTTTTCTTAATATCTCCGCAGTGCCAGGAAGCGACCCATCCCTTATTTCCGACCCAGCCCCTCTTCCAGCTACCGTTCCACCAGCGTGTCATCATGGAGCAGCCTCTTTACACGAAGCCGCAGTCGCAGTCCGATCTACAGCGTAAGACACAGCCGCAGTCATAGTCGGAGCTTCTCTTCCTATAGGAGCTACAGTCGGAGCTCATCATGGAACTCGATCTTTGGGTCCCACAGTCGCAGCCGGAGTCGTCTCTCCTTGAAGAAACGAAGGAAAACCAGGCGTTGACAAATCTCTTTGGAGGGACAAAAACTTCATTTCTATTCCTAATCAGGACAATGGCTGTTGGAGCTGTTAACTGCATGCAGTGAATCACACTGATGCTTGGGCAAATATGTTCTGGGAGTGTAATTGAGACATTCCCCCTTTGTCAATTCACAGAGACCATAGATGGCTACATTTTGCTTTCTTTAGTTTTTCTTCCTGCACATCATGCACTTGTATCACAAGGGAAATTGTATTTTCCTATTTATCAAACTAGCGTTTGTTTATATATCTATCAGAGATGCAAGTTTGCCCTCCTCTTATTAAAATCACCATTTACTCCTTAGAATTAACACAATATTTACTATACATTCATGAGGAAGAAAAATTGGGTTTGAAACCTGCCCAAGAAGTACTTAATTTAAGATTTTCCCATTTTTTGGACTTCACTTACAATATCCCATATTCAGTTTATGGCCTGACGTTTAGCAGGGCAGCAGGCATGAACTGTTCTGCGTCAGGTCTGCATGACCCTGACTTTACACCAAGAGATGAAGTACAGTGGTAACATTTAAGCTGTTTGATCCTTGGGTTTGTAGACAGCTTCACAGGGATCGTTATCAGGAATCAGCAAAAGGATTTTTGCTCTGATCTCAGCACTTCACAAGGAGGAGAACAAACATGTTTCCTGAGCACTGGGTGGCATGACGGTGAGCCAAAATGTCACTTTAATTTTTCCTCTGTTCAGGTGAAAAACGATTTCTAATTTCTGTCTTGTGGGCATTTAGAGGAACATTTTCATAGAATCAAACTTGATGTTTATCCCCTAAAAATATAATGTGATCACACTGTACACTGCCTTCCCAAAGTATTCCTACCTGTTGAACTTTTCAGTTTTGTCATATCACAACATGAAACACAGATGTTTTTCATCATTATTAGCCGTTTATAACCTGTAATTCTATTATTAGATGACACAGTTGGTCTCTCTTTACATATTAAAACTTCTGGATTGGATTTAATTGTCAGTTTGTCGCAATACTTGTTGAAAGGTTTTTAATGACATATATCTTTACTTCTTCTTTACAGTTATCTGTACCTAAGGGTTCAGCTTATCTCAAATTCTAAATATAAATTCTAACCGGCTTAATTTTATTTGTGAAATGACAAAGCATAAAGTTCAAATGGTGTAATTCATTTTGTAATTCTCCTCTCTGTGCTAAATGTTCTCTCACCTGTACTCGCTATTTATTGAACAAATAAATCTGCTGTTTCTTTTTATCAGGTAAAATGGTTATAAAAGCTGGTGAAATTCATGTATTCTATAATGACTTGAATATTTATATAACACTGTAACCAGACCTGTAGCCATTTTTAAATTGTGCATTTAAATCCATATTTATGACTTCTTTCATATTTATTGGTTCTCTGTTTCATTTCTGAGTCCTCTGTTTTCATATGCAATCCTGTTAGCTTTCAACACAACCACAAAACAGTTTTCCTGTAAAACGTAACAAATTTCTGACACCGAAAAGTCCAAAGGTTGAAGCAGAGGTCCAGCCAAGCAAACCCAGTCACTTATGCTTTCATATGGCTAATGAATTTTCATTCTCCACTAATTTGTAGTATATGTCCCTAACGGTTATGCACAGGTGGTCAACCAGACTTTTGCTCAGTTTAAACAACTATCCAAGAGTCGTTGTCAAGTCTAGCAGGTTGCACTGAAGTAACCGCCGTTCTACAAGGCAAAAAATATCTAGAAATAAGTACAAATTTCTTAAATTAAGTGTATTTAGCCTTAATTTGAGCAGGTAAATTAGCTGTTTTTTTCCCCTGATAAACTAATACAATTAGATAACATGTACTTTAAATAAGGCAACGCAATTGCTTTTTCTTATTTTAAATGTAACTTGTCTTGTTCCATGGCAAAATGTCCCACTTGACTCCTCGATTAATAAAAAATTGCACTTATTTTAGGAAAATATAACTTATTGAGATTTCAATTTTTTGCAGTGTGATGTTTTGAAGTACCCTTAGACCTAGCCTCCAAGTTAGATACAAATCAGTGATCAATCCATGTTTTTTTGTGTGGCTGTGCATGAGATTTGATTTAGGGCATACATTTCATAATGGTGAACCTGCTTATGTAATTTCTTTCCAGGAAACAGTTACATTTGCTTGGTACCTAAAACCGAAATCATCCCCCTCTGTTTAGTGATGATTTTCTTCCTCAATCAAATAGCGTTATTTACCCTTCTTTTAAATGTGTTAAACAAATTGGTTATTAACAGGCCTCTGCAGCCTTTGATGGCTCCTGTCGTGGTAGTGAAACCATTTCATGTACAGTAGGTGTGCTGAGAATTAAAATATGCAAGACAACGTGGCCTAGACAACCTTTAATGTCATTTTGTATACACAAAGTGTATACAAAATGAAGTTTTGCTTTGTACAGCAAAAAAAAATCCTTAAAGAGAACATTAAAAACGTTGTTGTTTTTTCATATGGCAATTATTGGGCATCATATATTATCCTGGTTGCCTATTCTCCTTATTCCCACACCTACTAAGCAACCTTTTAGATCAAAGGAGCCATTTTTGTACCTGCCTAAAAAAAAGTGAGCGGCTTAATTTGCGGATGTCGAGACATTTTACTTACTTTACTTTTAATTATTTTTATAAAATCTGATATTATCTAATTTCCACTGCGAATTTGTATAGTGCCCTTTTATTCATAGGACACCACATAGTCCTAACAAATCCAACATAGTTATAAACCAATGCCAGAATTCTTCAAAACAAATATGAAAACAAGAACAAGAGCTAACATTTTAGTACTTACCGATGCCAATTATTGACTGAGCCTTAAATAAAAGGTTAGGCATTATGAAGAGAAAAATAGAGACAGACTTTTCTGTTGGATTTTCTACAGCTGAGGTAGAGTGGAGAGGGCTTTTTTCCACATAAAGAAAGCTTGTCTGGATATTGTTGTTTTGACACCATGATCTTTGAAAAACATAAAAGTGGGATGGGTCCACAGTATCTGGTTGCTTTACCAAGTATGAGTACTTGAAGCTGATACTGGGGCATCCCTGGTCCGTAGTCTTACAGTAGGTTCTCTTTCTTTTTTCTAAAAAAACAGCTGCAGAGAGACATTTTCTACAGCATTTTGATTTTAGGACTGAGCAAGATAAATAGGTTTAAATATTTGTGTTATAAACAATTTCTGTGTGTTTGTTATCATGTTGAAAGACTTAGTAATTGCCTTTTTTTTCTTTTCTTTTTTTTTTTGGCAGAGCTTATCATATTTTTACTTTGAATTTCCTTGGATGAAAGTCATGACGCAATGAGCTCTAACAAGGTATCCGGAACCTTATGATGAAAAACAAGGCTCTATAACATCACAGATCATCCACCGTTATAAATATTGAACATGAGGTGCTTTACCAAATATTCATCCTTCTTTTTGTCCCCCCCAGACAGACTCTTATCTTTAGATAATGAGTTACCTTATTTTCTTCAGATAGTAAAGAATCTATTTAAGGGACAAAGAAGCTTAATTATGTCAAGAAAATGAGAAAACTCTTCAACATATTTTAAACCCACAGTATCACCATAGCACAGCGACTCATTATACCTTATTTTCCTTTGACTAGCTTAAAGAAAATAGGCTATTTTTTCCAAAATGTCACTGTTCCTTCAAAGTTAATTTTGTGGCTGCTCCAACTCCAAAACAGCTTTTGCTTATAATTAAGGGTCATACTTCCTAATGGTTTTAGATCCTTCATCCTGTCTGTGTTTCTGCTCCAGGCCTGACAGACTGCTCTCTATGCACTCAACTCTCTCAGCTTATTTCCCTAAATGTCAGCTAAATGGGACAAATGAGGGAAATATGCCGCTGGAAGAGGAAAAACTTGGCACAACAAAATATCATCCATATACCCAACTGATGATGGCAGACGTGAACCAGTGTATGCCGGTGGAAGATTTGCACAGTTTTGTTGATGAAAGTATTCAACCAGTAATGTCCTCACCTCGAGATATTGTGCAAACAGGAGCTTGAATATGTATTTAATGTGTTGTAAATAGGCACCAGGACTGTGTAAATAGTACAAAATGTGTTTCGATTGTTTTTTAATTTACAGCACAGAATTGAAGGCATATTGATAACATCATGGATACAATGTATAAACAAATATTATTGTTATTTAAAAAAAAAAAAAAAGCAATAGTGATCCCGTGTTTCATTGTGAAACAATGCATTTTTATCCCTGTTTTCAATATTAAACAAGCATAATACAAAAACATATATTTTGAATGGCATGTGTATCAGTGTAAAATTCACATTGTAATAAAGTGTCAAATGGAACCTTGATATAATATGCATAAAATGCGTTGTAAATGTATTTATTCCCTTTGTTTTTCTTTTGCTTTTTTTCCCATTTTGTCTCATTAAGAAAAAAAATACCCAAAACTCCATAAATTAGGATTATATATGATTGGCCAATATATCCTCCACTCTGGCTGTATGTACAGATTCCCCCACAAATTTACTCAAGTAGAAGTGGCATTACTTTTAAATTTTTTTACTTTTGCAAAAGAAAGTAGTTATCCAAGAAATTACTCAAGTAAAAGATAAAAAATACTTGGTAAAAACGGCGACTCAGTACTAACTCATAACAATGATTTTATAAAAAAAAAAAAAAAAAAAGTTTAATCAGAAAGACAGTTATCAATAAGATGATTACAATATAAGAAGAAACACTTCCTCATAAACATTTTCTATATAGCATTAAAAACCAAATCATTACAGTAGATAAAACATACGGTAAGGTGTCCACTAAAATTATTATCATTATTACTATTATTATTGTAGTTTTTGTTATGATTATTTTTTCACCTGATTAAACACTAAAAATGCAAGTTATCACAATATTTGTAGCTACAACCAAAACAACATAATAAATGATCATTAATTCAATTGAATTATGATTAATCAATCCCCAAGGGCAAGTTCAGCTTTGGTGCAGCCCATCCAAGAAGACAAAAATACATGGAAGGACATTACACAGACATTATACATAGTGGTTATCTCTTACTCCATCGTTCTCAGATCAAGTAGATCTTGTCTCATTCAGTTTTCCTGGTACTGACTCTTGTTTTTTTCATGAGGAACTTTCATATATCCAAACTGAGTAGTAGAAAAGCCAATCTAGGCTTTGAAGTGTATGCTCATAAATCACATAATAATCAGCATGACAATATATACTAACTCTACTTATAATAACTATTTGAAAGGTCAGCAATTAGTTCTAAAACATCTTTAAATGAACCTTTGTTGATCACAGGAGAACCACCGTACCAGATTAGAGCTTAATACCTGGCAGCTCCCCACCAGTTGTGACCGCTTGTGTCAATTGACTTCTATTTTTTCTTTATTAAAATTGGTATGTTGCTCTGTTCCTCATCTTTACGTTTACAGAAGCACAATCAGCAACCTTAACAGCTGTTCCTGCATGCAACATCCTCACACACTATTTCTACAGTAATAAAATTTTTTTTCCACACGCAACATTTTCCCTCTAATTCATTAATCTGTGAAATAGGAGATATTTCCAGGGAGAGCTTTATTTTGTCCAAAATGGGGACTGTCCCTGCAATTCAAGGACATCTATATACTAGGGTGA